ATTAGGTATTTACCTTTTCTGGACCTTTGTGCAGAATAGAAAGCAAAATGTGTTTCAGTAACTACATATGTTTTAATTTTCAGTTACAATGTTTTACCTTGAGTAAATGGTAGACAAACCTGAAATGTGTTCTGCGCCTCAAAATGACCAAACCCAAAAAATAATGAGTCCTCAATTCATTGTCACACATGTTTTTCATCCCAGGTTGCTCACAGTTCACAAAGCCCAATCAATTAAATCCTGTTCAGCTGTGGGATGACTGAAGTTCATTCTGCGGTGTTTTCAAGTAAAAACTACAAAATAAACCCCTCCCAATCTTGAAGAAATGGGTTTTGAATCAGGATTAAATGTGGGGAGCGTGCAGCAACGTACCGTTCTCCATCAGTTAGTTTTTGTCAGCCCACAGTTTTTGCTTGTGCCTAGGACAAGCTTTAAAGAGTAAAATGGGAAATTTTGAGTGTTAGCATTGGGTTACCAGCAGATTTTCTTCTTGTCTAATGTGTAAATCAGCATTATCCTGAAGCCAAACTACAAGGGGTTTTAGATTTTGGCAACAAAATGTTGCGTGTATTTATCATACAGATAAAAGGTACAAAGTGCCATTAAAAAAAAAAAAAAAGGTGAGTGTTTGTTATGGGAAACATTTAAAGGGGGAGGAGAAGGGGGAACCCAAACATAAACAAAAGAAACCCCAACCAAACAAAACTCCCCAACAAAACCAAACCAACCAAACAAAAATTGCCTCCAATCTGAGAGGCTGAGATTTTGGGGAAGTTTGCAAGATTGTGAACAGCACACTCTGATTTCGGGTTTACTTTTCCTTGTGCTGAATAATTTTTGAAGGAGCAGTTTCTTTTCTGATTGTCTGGGGAATTCATGAAACCTGAGTAATCCGTCAGTAGAAAGAGGTTCCTGACACTGGCTTGCCTACTTCAGCTTGTGGAGTTTTTTGGATTAGATTTGGGCCAAACACAGTTGTATGATATTTATGATACCTTTTGAGCATTTAAAACTCCTCATTAATATGTTTGCCAGATTATGTTTTGATATAATTTGGTGATTCAAGATTCTCTATAAACTGGTGTGTTTAAAAAAAAAAAAAAGTCATATTCTCTGTGATAGTTGCTCACAAATAGAAAATAAATTGTCACTTCCCCCATCCTTACTGGGCAGCTAAGCTGGATTGTAGTTTGTATCCATGATTATTGTCTCTGGCCTGGGGAACAAAGTGTTGGCCTGTGTTTGGCTATAGTGGTACCTGAATTACTCTTGTTGCCATGTCCCTGTGTTCTCATTGTTGTTGCAGGATTATGTGTGTATCTTCTGCATTGTCTGGATGCCCAGAGCACATTCCATTTCCTACACACACAAATCAGTTGTTAACTCTCTCAACTGCTAAATGGTCATTGCTGTCACAAGAAGTCACTTACTGGTTCCTTTTGAATGTTTCTGTTTTGGCTAGCTTCTCATAACCATCGGTGCTATCTAGTAATTAGCTACAGTTTATTTAAGAGAATCAGAACAGTTAGAAGTATGATTGCTGGTCTGCCTTTGGGCAACACGAACATGTCTCAATGTCGCTGTGCTTTGCAGCCCAGGAGGTTCCCAGTGTTATATCAATATCATCAACTGATACTCTTCATTTTGTGTGACTAGTAGATACTTTTTTCCATTTGTCTTTCTCAGACTACCTAGTTGGCCAAAACCTATTACAGAAACAATGTATTTTACTGTTTTGTTGTGGTTTGGGTTTTCTACCCGGTTGGCTGTTACAGCTTTAATACAGGCTTCCTTTGTGGTCTCAGCAAAAGAGTGCATGGTGCTTAGTAAGGTTTAAATGAGCTCAGTAAAAAGATTCTGCAGACAGAGAGAAGTCTACTAAAGCAAGAAGGCAGTCATTAGAGGTGTATAATAGGTTTGATCCTCCACTCCCTTAAGTTAGTTTTTTACAGATATAAAAAGTGATCTGAGTTACAAAGGCATAAAACCCACATGGGAAGATCAAGCCCTGGGCCCCTTATTTACTCTACAGTTCTCTACTTATTAATTTGTAATTCAAGAGCGAACACTTTACAAAGAAATACCTGAGCTAGTCCTCCAGCATGTATAAGGGTTAAATCAGGCATCCAGGAACAACCAGGCACCAGTAGGCCATACAGAGCAATCACATAGTACGGCACAGAGTAGAACATGTATGCCAGCATCTGCATTTTAAACAGAAATATTAGTTGCTTTGCAGTGTGAGGGAGATGCATTTAAAAATAAACCAGCTGCTGACTGAGGAGTTGTGACTACTCAAAACTACACTCCTTGCAGCAATGATTCCCAGGCCTTTTTGCAGCTGTAACACATTTGAGAAGAGTTTCACACCCAGATGCTGTTGACTGGATCCACCTACCCTAAGGCCTCCATTAATGCTGTCAGCTGTTGTCTCTTTGGCCCATACAAATCCTCTTCATCTCAGGACATGTTTTTCTACCGCTTGCTGTCTTGAGACCATGCCAATAAGCATGGCTTGACCTAACTCAGCACCCAACACAACATGGACACCCATTTTCTCAAGCTCCACTGCACTTCCAGTTGGAAGGTGCGAGATCTACCCAAGCCACCCCTTTCCCAGAAATAACAGGTCCAGCAGAGATTTTTGGTTTCTGCTCATTGCTTCACTCATGAACCCTTTTACCGCTTCAGGCCCTTCCCCCTTGCAGCAGCCAGGGTTGCAGAAGAATGGCTACCTTGCAAATACTAGAAAACTAAAGCAAAACGTTCCTCTGCAATGCCTGTGTAACTGGGGTTTGTAAAATGTGTCGTGTGTCAAGGAGCGTCACTGGTGAGAGCAGCATAACATGAGCTTAAGGACTCCAGTCCTACTACACCCCTTTTTTTGCTCCATTATTCCAGACTGGAAGTCCTCTTTGCCCTTCTAAAGAGTGGGAATGATCATCAAAAGCATGCAGATCTGTTTCATGGACTATATTAAAAGAAGCCTGAGTAATTAGGATGTATAACTCTAGGTAACTGATCTGAATCTAAGTTATCACAAGGAAGAGCTGGTACCCTGTAATGGCTGTAGTAGAAAATACGAAACACCATGTAACTTGCCATGAACAAATACTTCCCTTATCGATCTTGTCATCTGTGAAACCCATGGCTTCATCTTTGTGCCAGTTAACAAATCACTTCTTAACGCTCTATGCTCCACAGTCAATGCTTTACCTGAAGCTTAGGATAGGCAGCAGGATCTTTTATATCAGAGCAATCTAAGAAGAATTTTTAAAACTTCCCGTGAACAAAGAATTTGTTCTAAAACGAGCTAACCTGATACCTGTTATCAGCCCTAAAGATTCTCTAGTCATCTGCAGCACTGCTACCCTGGAGGCTTGCTCAAAATCTGTTGCAAAGGTGATCCATTTGATCACCAATTCAAAAGCTGAAACGCAGCCTCCTCTCAGCTCCTGCTCAGAGGGTTTGTAAGGAAATGCTGACAGCCTGCTTTAAAGACTTTGACTGGAAGAGAATTCAGTCAGTTGGCTATGCTGTAGTAAAAGTATAATTGCTATTGATTTGCTCTGATAAACAGACTTTGATCCCAGCAAACGAACTTTCCAATGGAAAATTGCTCAAATGGTGGAAACGTCAGGATAAGCACCCAATTTTAGGATAGCAAGCTATGGATGTAGTCCAAGAAAAGAGTTGCATTGTGACAAGGTAGCAGTGGAGAGCAATGCAGAAACAGGTGTTACTTGATAATTTTTAAGAGTAGCAAAGAAGAGATTATTGAATTTTACATTCCTATAGAAAGAACAAAGTTCCCAATAAACATGAAAAGAGACCCAGCCGCAAAAGTAGTTCCTTTTCATAGTAACCCTTAAAACTACCACAAAAAATACTATTCTAAAATGAGTTGGCAATCTGTGTCAACAGCTGTCACCATAAGTGTTTCACGGCAAGGCATTGTTAATGCCTAAATTGCAGGACTAAACAGTAAGTTATGTCACACAAATACACATGAAATTGTACTTAGAGGGGGAAATACAAATATTTACAAACAGTGGGTATTACTCCCTGTTCTTTTCCAATGTGGGCATCCAAGAGGGGGGTCTGGGCAGGCTATAATGGATTATGCTTTATTAGCTTGTTCACAAAATTGTGGTTACTGCAGCTTACACAGAGATGTTCAGTTGATCTCTGTATGTGTACATAAGGCCAGTAAGCAGTTCCTGTTTGGTACAGGAAATACATAAGGAAATGGCCACACTCAAAATGAACAAAAAATTCCTCTGAGAAGTGAAGAGGGATTGCAGAACCAAGTTAGATGCTGGAGCATGAGACTAACATTTCCCACAGTAAAATGACAGATACAACAGCTGATTAACCTGCATCAGTGGTGCTCTGAAGTAGCATGATCTACTAAGAAATGAAGCAGTTTGTAACAAGTTAGAAGGGAAAAAAAAATATTTTTGAGAGGCAAGTTCTCAGAGAAACAGCAGACGATGATAGGAGCAGCAGAACTACAAAAGGGCAATCTGTGCTGGGTAAATAAAATGTTGCTTGGGTACTTATCGTCACCTCTTACTTGAATTATTCTAGACAGGATCTATAAATCAAGGAAACAGGCAGTTGTCTAAGACACCTGAACATTTGAGCGCTGTTCACTGAATGATACACATTCCCATCTGCTTAAGACAGAAAATGCTTTAGAGCTGACAAAAGACTAAGTTTACCTACTACTGGATTTATCTACTTCAGACATTTTCAGTACCGATTCATTCCCTCAGAAATTTTAATTCGATCAACTATGCTTAAAGCAAACATTTTTTTAAAAAATCAGCTCTTGGTAAGTAGAAAAAATGTGTCATTCAGGTAATGTGGATAAATATTTTTTTTTTTTCAGCTGGAAATGTTCTCCTCTATCTCATGCAGTGTAAATTAACTTGGTTCCCTATACAATTTTAACTATGCATCCCTGCTTAGAAAAACATTAATACAGATTTAATTTAGTTGGTTTGTCTCCACATTCTTGAGCATAAATGTAACAACAGACCAAAGAAAACAGTTTTAGGTCATGTTGATCTGCACTTGGGATGCTATTTATTCTTGTGATTGTGCACTTACTGTCTTTTGAAAAATGTATTTTACACAAGGCAAAATGAAGAAGCAAAGCACCACTAACTATCACCAATAATCAAGTTGTCCTTTATATATCTAAGGCCTATTCCAACCCTGAAAGTCACAGGATTTCCCTTAGCCAAAATGTATATACTTTTTCACACAGACACAATGGTCTCAAACTTAAGCTTGACTAAAAATTAGAGGCCAGAATATTAAAACATCTTCAACTTACCATGCCCCTAAATATGCAAAACCCCGTTGCTAGAATGAGGTATGCAGCTAACATTAAATCTATTGGTCGTCTTAAGAGTCCTTTCTTCTGGACTTCCTGAACCACCTGCAACACAGAATGTGTTTAGTAAGTACATCCCAGTTCCACAAGACATGTATTTAACTCCAGATCAGTCACTACAAGAAGGGTGAAGTGGTGAAACATTGATAGAGGCAGTTAGTTCTCAGTTACATTATCCTATTTATCCACTGATTTCAGAGAGAAAGATTTCCACATCTAAAAGGGTGACTTCAGACTTTATAGGATGCAATGAGTAAAATTAATCTGAATAACCTCTAGAAATGGATGGATCCATCTAAAGCAGTTTCAATACGGATTAGTTGACTTTCAAAGCAACTTAAATCAGATGAACACTACTCTAACTCTGCAGTCATATAAGGTTTTGAAGCAGCATAACGAACTTCTTCAAAGTTGTGTCTTTTAGTTGGAATGAATTAATTGTCCTGCATGTCCCTATGTACAAAAGCTTTGTAAATGTACGTTTGTCTCAAACGTTTGAAGTTGAATCTAATACACTTTGTAAACGGGCTACTTGGAGGGACAGCAAAATGAGAGTCCATCTCATTATTGACAGTGAATGCTGGTTTTCAGCAGCCTGTAGCACTATTGAAATTAGTGGGATATCACTGGCATAAAATAAAAGTTTTCTGTGGCCAGTTGAGTTCTCTACTGAGTTCAGTGAGCAAATAATATATATGTTAATATGTAATGCAAAAACAGAGAATGAAATGTATGTGTGCATGTATGGAGCATGTGAAAAACCCTCTGTCCATTCTTTTATTACTTTATGCTATGGATTCCTCTGACGGGCACTGAAGCACTTCTCAGCATCTGGATCTGGTATGTTCCGTGCCTCCTTTCCTCAGCCTCAGAACAAGAATCCCCCCACTGCACTGCACAGGCAGATGTGAGGGGTTCACACTCTCCGGTAGCAAAGGCCATATAGATATCTAACATGGACGATGGCTTGAATGAACCAAAGTCATCTCTTTGCCTACGTGGTAAAACTTACAAGACCCATGGAAATAATTCGAGGTACACTTTCAGCACTGTGTAGTCACAGACAAAATTATAAGCACAGCAGAGTATCTGTCAGAGGGAAAACTTCCCCATTTATATGTGTTACTCATTTCCTCTTCCTTTTTATTAGCCATGTGTTGGCATGCAGACAGCAAAAGAAAAACCTGCTTTCCTTCCTGTTATACACTTCTGGCATTGTCTCCAAAGCACAAAACAATAATTAGGATGTGGAGGCACAGTTAAAAGCGCTCAGGATCAAGATACTCACAATAAAGTTATCAGAACAGGAGAACTGACCTTGCAAGCACAATTCCTGAGTAAGAACTGCAAGATCTGAACTGTAGTTTAACAAAAATAAGGCTATTTTAAACACAAAGGCCATCTCTTTCATAAAACTATTTCTTTTCTAGTATAGCACTAGTGTAGGAATGTTTATAATATTACCTGCAAAGAATGTCTATATTCTAATATTTATTCCTATGAAAGACAAAGGCCTCCCATGGCTGCTGAGTTGCAAGTCATTTTCAGTTGTGGACTACCTAAGGATAATGGAAAGTTTAAGGCTTGATATATTTTCTTTCCACATTTGCCTAAGTATGAAGCTTATATATATGTATCACTCCTCCTTTCAAAAGGTGTATTAAATGAATGTGCGTATTTACCGTGATCACAAAGCTACAATAGAACTTTGTACTTGGAGGTTTTGGAGACAAAGCCAATATTAGTAGAAATAAGCTTTGGTGCAGTATGAGTTTGTGAAACTGCCAAGATACAGAAAACTTGCACCTTTCTTCACTATGCATACATTTATACAAACAAAATGAAAACTCAAAGCTTAAAAAAAAAAAAAAATGCAGAAGCAAGAATTTGAAAGACAGTATGCACTTTGACAGACCTCAGCTATGTGGTAATTTTGCCTCACCCTTCTCTTACACAGCAAAGTCACATCAATACATGCTAAAATGAATTACGTGTTAAGTGCACTGGCTGAGTAAAGAGGACCTGCCACGGGTTTCCCATTTATTGCAAACAACACTGAACTCTGCATAGATCTTGCCAACCCTGCTGTTTCTTTTATGTAGCAAGGAAGTGTGTAGGCACGCTTTGCAATTTCTCTCACTTCCAGGAAAAAGCTATTTTCCATAACTTCTGAGAGGCTCCTTACATGATCAGTTTTAAGGAATCGTATTGTCGTGTGCTGTCCATAGAAGTCAGTCCCTTCAGAATTCACGTGCAAATCTGAATTTATCTGTATTAATTCTGCTAATGAATTTTAAATTACATTAAACTTTTCTAAGGTGATAATACTTGTAGCTAAATCTGCTGGGCTTTGTAACTACTGCAGCACAGCTTGGTTTGACTCTAAATGAGAGCATAACTCCACTCCTCTCCCATGCACCCACTGCTATTAGAAAACACCCAAAAACTGTTCACCTGTTCTCTGTCCCCACAGTGATTTTTTTTTAAAACTGCTTTATAATAATATTATAGCAATTAACACCTTGCCCAACAGCATATATCTTGCTTCCGTTGCTTTCATGTAAGTATTTTTCTATATACTTGCACTATCATGTTTAAAAGCATTATTACATTTTCTTCCTAAATCTTTTAATACCAACTCTGAATAACGATAGCTAAAAAAAAGTTCAATTTTACAGCTAATTGCAAATGATCTATTGAAAGCAAACTAAATATTTTCAGGACGTATGATGATTAACTGATTAGCAGCATTACACACAATTATTTCCTGGAAACAATACTTAATTTAGGCCTGAGATTTCTATAAAAAAAAATAGAAAAAATTCGTGAGTAGGAGTGTTAAGATTTAAAGGCATTTTAAGGTATACAGTTAGCGAACCCAGGTATTTATGCTCAGATATGGAGCATAAATTAGCTGTGAAGATAAAATACAACTTCTAAAAAAGAAATTACTTGGGAAGGGTAAGAGGCCCCAGTGAAAGGAATCAAGCTTTTTCTATGACCTTCTGAGCAAGGAAGTTTATAAAGGTTTACCAGAAAGGACTCGCTAAGACGTGCAATGTTAAATTTTCAGATCACCAGCTTTTTATGCTCTCTCTTTTTGAAATAGAATTTAAAAACTAAGTTTCTCTGCAATATATACCGAAGTAAAATACCAAACCTAGGTAAGCAGTTTAGCTCCTGATAAGCATAGGAGACATGGCTATATTTCAGTAAACAAGCAGTCCATCACATATTTTCTATAATAGCAATTTCTGTGGTGTTCTCAGTACTAGGAAAACAAACCAAAACCTTCATCCATCCTCCATGCAAAGGACGTTCTCACCAATATATATGGCAAAAATCACCATCGCTACCTTTAACTACACTTCTCTACCCTGATGACTCTAAAGAATGTGTTTCTGGCCAGCATTAGTGACGCCTTTAAGTAAATCAGCTCAAATTGCTTTGGGATGGGACATGTGGTTTCCTATAAACCTATGCAGGAGGGTAGAAGAGGGTTTGGCACCTGAAGTCTCCCCCAGTTTGCCTTTCACGGAGATTCACCCTAAAAGTGGTGATTCTGTAGCGGTTCTTCAAACTTCAGGAGATATGAACATCTGCCTGTACCTCTCTTTCCCACTGAGGAATCATGGATGGATGGCTGAATGTTAGGTTTCATACATTTCTGGGAAATCTGTCGGTGCATCATGTGCTGTTATTCTGTGCCATAGGCTACGCCCCTTGCACCCTGCCTATTAGCTATGGAACAGGAACTAACTCCTTCATCCGTGTCTGTTTTCAGTTACAGAATGAACCTGACTGAGACTCAGGAGCTCATGTGATGCAAAAATATTAATTGATTATATTACAAATGATACGGTGTGCTGTGGCAATAAACTGGCTTGCTTATAGCAACAAAGAGTTAAAGATCTGTTCTGTACTTTGTACTGCAGGGATTTTTTTTATAAAACAGTGCATAAACTAATATTGCATTTTTTGATTGTTCAGTTATTCTTATTACATTCTATTAAATTTAAAGGCAAAGGTCTAAGAAGTTTTAGGTAAACATTATTTTTACAGATTTTTTGTAAGTAAAAAGTGTGTAAATTTTCACATCAATTAATGTACAATGTCTTACTTCTAAAATCTAATATTGCAGAACGTGCATACAAAAAATTATTAAATTACATGAAATATCTAAGTCATCTGCAGATGAATATTTTCCTGCAGGGCTTCTGTAAGGATTTTGTGGTGCTTTATGAAGCTGGAATAAGTCAATATTTTCATCAGCTAAGAAACTGCAACAGTCAGAAACTGCATAGATAGAGGGTAGTAACACAATTGCACCTAAAAATGAGTTCTTTACTTTAAACGTGAGATTCTTCTGCTTTTTCTTTATCCCACCATAATGAAATGGTCCTGCAGTATAGGTATTTTTACAGTGGCAGACATTTTTACACAGCCCGGCAGCAATTGTCATAACAGTGAACAGTTACAGTGCATTCCACACTCACCAAGGGACCTATAAAACTCAGTGGAAACAGCAAGCATATTTCATTTTTCCTAACAGTAGCCAACACTTAAATACAGTAATATTACCTTGACTGGAGCGTCG